AACCCTGTTTGTCAGAAAGTTACAGAAGTATGACATAATTGTTGGTTGTATTTGTGCTGTTGTCTCTTTATTTGTTTCTTACACTTGTAAATAAACTTCAATGGATGCAGGGGTGTTTGTTTTATATTTGTTGTTTAACTTTCTCTGGAGAATTTTTCTCTCATATGGAGATGCCACAATTCGCTGATAAAGGGCTTCAATTTAGACCTATACTCGGTACATAGGGCCATTAAGCAGGTAGGTATTTTTCCCTTGTCAGCCCACTGCGAAACAGGGTCTTGGTTTATACGGTTTCATACAAAGGACCAGTTTCCTTGTCTGTGGAATTCGAACATGGAACGGAAGGATCGATCCCCACTCTGCTTCCCTAGAGCAAATCTCTAACCACAGCGGTCTTTCGCGTGGCGCAGTGGTTAGAGCGTCTGTTCTAAAATCAGTCGCGGGGTAGGGATCTGCATGATCCTTATGGATTTGCATTCACTACAAGACTTGAAGACCGGTCCTTGGAATGAGATCGTATTTAAACAGGTGTTGCAGTGGATATTGACGCCATGTTGCCAATAGCCTGAGTATAAGACAATTTGTAGCTCTTCGGCGGCAAGCAAGTGGTTGCCTTTATAGAATTTATTCAGACCATGCATTCCCGTCAATTTTTGGATACTGAAAGGAAAAAGAAACACAGGGTAGCATAATTTTCGAATTTTTTTGGACCGCATTACCGAAAATTACGAAAATTGGTCGGATGAGAAATTTAGTTACTATGCACCAAAATCAGTGTTCAGTTTTACTCAACCGTAAAATTTAAGATGTCACGCAGGGAAACCGCTAGTAAGTCCAAAACACGTGTAATTTGATGATGACGAGTTCCTCTCACTAGCGCATACGTGCATCGTTTGACTCATTTTCGGCTTAGTTACCTATGCCCATTATAGTCGGGGTTTAAAAGATAAACACTCTGTTGAATTTCATGCAAAGTAGAAATAAGACTCTGAAAGATGTGCTGGAGAGACATTGAAAATTAAAGGGGTTCTCGATTTTCACTTTGGGGGGGGGGGGGGGGGTATCGTCATATAAGTTTCAATAACTCATAAATTATTGGACAAAAAAAATTTATTAAATTTTGATTATATATTTTTGAAAGATGGTTTAAAAAGTTAGATAGTAATACTGAATAAAATTAGAAGAAAAATAAATTTTATTCACCTCAAAATTTACCCTGCATTTCTTTTTCCTTTCAGTATATAATAAAGGATATTAAAATGACTTTTGAACTTGAGAGAAATGCCTTTCATATTTTAAACTTCAAATATCACCTAAATAGCAAATCGATACGGACACTGTCTGTACTTTAATGCATCCAAACTCAACATGGTTCTAAAAATTGGAACACAGCTACACAGCAAGGTTCTTTCAAAAGAGTCAGAATAAGCATTGTCCTCTAATAGAAGAATTCTCTCAAATTGCCATGCTTCCATCTTACCCTCTCACGATACCACTAGCATGATACAATTCAACTTCCCATAATATCTAAATAGCATACAATCCAATTTTAAACCCATTTCATACTTTCGTTATAATATCCAACCCTCTCACACTATCCAACTCTCTCATATCATCCAAACCACTGAAGAGACCACCCAACCTCTCATGATCCCAAACGACCCTCTTACACTAATCCATTCTCTCATGACACCAGCAAACCCTCACATACCATTCAGCCCGCTCATTATATCATCCACCTCTCTCATACCATCCAATCCTCTCAGGATACAATCCAACTCTTTATGATTCTTTCCGAGCCTCTTAGAGCATCCAACCCTTTTATGCCACCAAAAACTAATATACCATCCAATCCTCTCATGAACCAATCAAACGCTCTCAAAATCCCATACCAACTTTCTCATACTACTTACCTTTTTTCATAAACTAGTTATCCAACCAACTTATGATCCAATTCTTGAAGATATCCAATATTCTCATGATTCTTTTCAACTCTCTTATACCATACAATTTTTTCATTATATCCTTGGAAACTTCTGATACCCTGGTATCATCCAATCTTCCCACGATACCATCCAAGCTTTTCGTGATAACATTTAACCAAAGTTCTCATAAACCAATCCAACCATCTCATTATACCAGCCGATCCTTTCATATTTTCTAACTCTCACATATCAACAAACCCTCTCAGAATACGATTCAACTCTTCATTACCACATTACTTCCTTTGATCCAATCAAATCCTCTCATACCACCCAACTCTTTCACAACGTCATCCAATTCTTTCATGATACCATCCAACCCTCTAAGAATTCTATCAAAACCTATCATATTTTCCCAACATCAAATACGATTCAGCCGATCATGATGCACCCAACCGTCTGAAGATGAAATATCAAACTCTAATTTAATCTTCTGAAGAACCTATTACCGCATTCAAGATATCATCTAAACCTCTCATTATATCATTCAACTTTCCCATACCACCCAACGCTTTCATATAATTAATTCACTCATGATACCATCCAACACTTAAATGAAAATATTCAACTCTTTTATGATTCCTTTCGAACCTCTTATACCATCCAACCTTCTCATGATACTATCAAACCCCCATATGGTATCCAAACCACTTATTATACAACCCAAACCAATTGGATGATCTCATTTGAACATCTTAATCATGAAACCTCTCACAATTAAACGTAAAATACTATTGATTTCATCCAACTGTCATATTTATCCAACCCATTCATGATAGTCTGAAGATATCGTCAAATCCTCTCATGAACACACATACCCTCCATGATACCACCTGATCCTCAGGGCCTGCTCTGAGAGACTTCTAGGCAATTTATGTAAAAAAGATAGAAAAGAGAGAAGATACAACAAGGTCAAAATATGAATGGCATTGTAGGGTTAACCATGTGACCAAAAATGAACCAGAAGTCTTTGTCAAGACTGTAGCTCTACTGGTTTATACTTAAAACAAAGGAAGAGAAAAGTAGCAGTTGGGACTTGAGACTTTAAATCAGCAATAAATAGAAAAATGATCCTTGCCACTCATCAAAATAAAAACCAATGCACAGAATTATGTATCTTAGTATAGTCTACTTGTGTGCCAAGTTATACTGAAATCAGATCAAAACTGCAGGAGGAGTAGCATTTTGAAAGAATTTCACAGAAATTTCTATTTTTAGTAACCATGGCAACATTGTTCATTGAAATCAAAAACCGATGCACAGAATTAAGGAATCACTGTCTAGTTTTGAGAGTATGCCAGGGCATCAACAATAGTGGGAAACATGGGATAATTTGCATAACGGGCTTCGCCCGTTATGCTAAAATTATCCCATGTTTCTCACTATTGTTGATGTCACTGGCATACTCTCAAAACTAGACAGTGATTCCTTATATTTCCATTTCATTGTGAAATAAAATTGTAGATTTAGACTTTAAAAATGTAGACATAGACTTAAATCACAGGAGGACTTCCATGACAGTTTCAATAGTCCTCGCCCACTGACGTCAAACAGAAATGCAGCCGCACGAGATTTACATGCATAGCTGGCCTCCTTAGCGTCAGACACAGACTGCATGAGACAGATGCGCACGAGATTTGCATGCGTATTAGGCCTCCTTAGCTCCTGACCTATCGACCTGCCTAATTTACATTCCGGCAGAATTATCAAGAAATAAACTCCGACAACTTTCAAAGAGTTATCACAGAGAAAAAAATTAGAAATGGAAATATTTATGTATCTTAGTGTAGTCTACTTGTATGCCAAGTTATATCAAAATCAGACCAAAACTGTAGGAGGAGTAGCATTTTGAAAGAATTTCACAGAAATTTCTGTTTTTAGTAAACACGGCAACACCGTTTATCGAAATCAAAAACCGATACACAGAATTATGTATCTTAGTGTTGTCTACTTGTGTGCCAAGTTATACTGAAATCGGAACAAATCTGAGGAGTAGCATTTTGAAAGAATTTCACAGAAATTTCTATTTTTAGTAACCACGGCAACACCGTTCATCGAAATCAAAAACCGATGCAAAAATTATGTATCTCAGTGTAGTCTACTTGTGTGCCAAGTTATATTGAAATCAGACCAAAACTGTAGGAGGAGTAGCATTTTGAAAAATTGTTTACAGACAGACAGACAGCTAGACAGACGGACAGACAGACAGACGGACGGACGACGGACGCATTACTATCGCATAAGCTCTTCTGGTCTCTGACCAGTAGAGCTAAAAAGCGAGAATAATGAGAGTCAGATAGCACCCCCTTCCCAACCTCCCTCATAAATAGAAAAATTGCATACCAAAGAGCTGTTATCATTACTCCTGACGGACAATGTGTATAACATAAACTTGAGGTGTGTTGTTTTTAAAAAATCAAGAGTTTGAGGAAAAGGAACAGAATTCAACAAACATGACAAACAAGTGTTGTCTGTCTTTTATATGAGTTTGTAATTGCTTCAAATTCTAAGAGAGGAGTGTGTCAAAGATGAAGAGGAATGAGATCCATTATTAAGATTCAAGTCGATCAATCGATTCTAACTATGTTTTCTTGTACATTGAAGAATATATTTGAACCAAGAATCAATAAACATAGCAAGTCTAAATAACTTTTGCTATAGTATTCATTTACACTTCTAAATTAGACAACATACTAGTATGACAAAAAACCATATTTTCTTCCATAAACATCAACTAAATGAATTTAAAAAATGTAATAAAAGCAACACAAGTGAAAATGAGGTACAATGTACATGTTAATTGGTAAAGGTGCTTTTTTACAAATACATTTTATCACAAAGAAAGTATACACACACAAAACACTTGCATAGAAAATGAGAGGATATCTTATATAAAATATATATCAAACTAAACACAAAGCGGAATGCTTTCTAGAATGAAATGTAATTAAAATCAATTCATATCCTATATTGCAAAATGTTAAGAATGAAGAAAGTAATGATTTTGGAATGCACTTTAAAAAGATAAATTAGTACCAAAATTTGCTTTATTCATTGACTGGATTACAATTTTTATAGCACATTTGCATTATTCAGTAACATAGTACAATTTGCATTCCTAGCATTCAGTAACATTTCATAAAATCACAGTTCCTCATGAGGACTCATTATTGGTTCTTCTTCCATGACCAAATTCCCATCATCCACCATTTTAATCAGTTTCTCCTTCTCAAGGTTATCAAGAGTTTCTACAGGTGAAGGTCGGACATCATCTGACCTCTGACTTTCATCCTGTGCATTCTCTGAATCTTCTAGTACAAGGTCCCCTGCATTTTTATCTTTGGACAACTCTAAATCCTCTTCTCCTTTCTTCTCAATTTTGAAATAATCTGCAGTTACATTGGAGAATATCTTGCCAAACAAATTTGGGTATTCATCTATAAATGCAACAATGTCCATTGAAAATAATTCATCCCAGGATAACACTTTGTTACCGTCCTTATCCATTTTTGAAAAGACCTGAAATAGGATATGTCATATTTACATGTGCATGACCAATGTTTTAAATAGAAAAACTAGAACTAGATTGTATATTGTATCTGCACTCTTATCCATTAGGCAGTGATCTTTATCGTAACAATGCCTGACATGACATGGGACTTTGGTTTTTAAACTCTCATCCAAAGGACCCGCAAATTTCACTACAAACTGCCGAGCGCGTGACGAAGAAACAGTTATAAGCCATATTTTTACGACTTACATGTATATAGGTCAGCCGCGACCGAGATTCGAACTCACATCCTTCCTATCACGAAGCGAGTGCTGAACCTACGTTTATACTTTGAAAAGTGTTCGAAATCTCACGAAAAACACCCAAAAGAAAGACAGGAACTGAGAGTTGATCATTTTTTTTAAACACAGTTGTTCGAAAGAAAGTCCTAATTCTTTTCATTCCAGTTCTATGTACAATATTTGCTACTTTTCTAGTAAATCATTTCACTGGCTCAGTTTGTACCTCATTTAGAGTTTCCACATCGTTTTGTGTAATGGAGGGGATTTTCTGCTGCATGTATTCACTGAAGGACTCTTTGTAAAAACTCATGACATCCTCAAAAAGTTCCAAGAAAAGCATTCTGTAGAAAGAAAATACAATCTTTTAAACTTTAACTCCAAGAAATATTTCTTATGTCTTTTTTCATATCCTTCCATTGGTCACACTAATGACTAAAAACTATACAGTAAAACCACTATTGAAATAACGACCACTATTGAAATAATTATATCAGTAGTGGTTGGGAGTGCATTCCAATAGCAAACAAAGTTAATAAGCACTATTGAAATACGACCACTATTGAAATAATTATATCAATAGTGGTTGAGAGTGCATTTCAATAGAAAACATAGTTAGTAACCACTATTGAAATACGACCACTATTGAAATAATTATTTCAATAGTGGGTAGCAGTGCATTTCAATAACAGACAGAGTTAGTAACCACTATTGAAATAATTACTTCAATGGTCGGTGAGAGTGCATTTCAATATGATAACCTTAGGTTTTAACCACTATTGAAATACGAGCACTATTGAAATAATTATTTAATGGCGGGGAAGAGTGCTTTTCATTATGATTACCATAGGTTTCAACCACTATTGGAAATCGACCAGTATTGAAAGAAAAGTTTCACCGCGTAATTTTTAATTTTTTATCCAAAATTTCACAAAAATTGGATTTGGGGTGAAAAATATATAGATTAATAAATCAAGTGTATAAATTAATAAGGATGGTTTTAGTGAGGCAGATTTTTGAACATTACAGAAGGTTTACAATTTCTTTATATTCTAGAAATTTATTATTTGCATCATTTTCAATGAAATCAGACCAAAAAAAAATATATAAATCCAGCCATCCATATTTTGTGTGTATCATCTGTCGTTAAATGAAGATTTAGAGAGTAACTGTTATTGAAATTATAATTTCAAAAGTGATTTAAGTAATTATTTAATCGATGTTGAAATTTTTATTTCAAAAGTGAACATTATTTTAATAGTGGTTGAAACATATGTTTGTTATTGAAATGAATCTCACCCACTATTGAAATAATTATTTAAATAGTGGTCGTATTTCAATAGTGGTTAATATCTATGTTTGTTATTGTAATACACTCTCAACCACTATTGATATAATTATTTCAATAGTGGTCGTTATTTCAATAGTGGTTGCAACACACCAGTAAGGAACATGCACTAATAATGAATTGACACCAATAGCGAAATGATTTTTATGCCCATAGTTTTGAAAATACTATTGCAATTGTGAATCTAAAAATTATGCAATTATGGACTCTTTCGGTGATGAATGTGATTTTTATTCTCCATAAAAATATCAATATTGATCTCGACCGAGGGAATTTCATTTTCCTTAACAAACTTCTGAGGTAAAAAATATATTGAAAAACTTATTACATAGAAAATAACCCTCCGGTTTCTTGCTCAGACATACAGCTTACTCCGGCCTTTGCATCAATTTTTGTTGTTCGAGATACAGTAAACTAACTATTATAAGCGTCATCTTTAATTCGCAATTCCATTACTCGGTTTAGAATCAAACATCAAAGATTAATTTTCGCTACTGAGGAACTATCCTCTACACTTTTATACAAAACAAAATAAATGCTTCGCTACGATTAATATTTGCGAGTTAAAGTAGGTCCTGAAACTCGTAGATATTTCTCGCAAGCGAATAATAAAAGTTGGTTTACGGGGGGACTGATTGATTGACTGATCCTCCGGTGAATATAGCATCAAATCCAGTGAATATGTAGTATTATGAACTGTTTGCGTTTTGAAACATTATTTTGTACCTGAATTCTACCTCAGGTTCGGACTTCTTGAAAGTCGTTAGGGGGACACTAGAATTCTGGTATGGATCCACTCCCTCACACTCTGGATCCGAGCTGTTAAACCAAGGTAAATGATGGAACCAAAAATTGACAGCCAAGTTTCTTCCGGGCTTGGAATCCACATAATGTAACCATCTGCAAAGATTTAGATTTAAAAACCATCTGATATGTGTTAAAGCATAATAGTAGATTGGGTGAATAGATGTCTGAAAAATATTTATTGATGTATTTATCAAACCCAGTTAAATTTGAATATACCATATAGATGATATATCTTTCTTAAGAACAGCAAAGGCATGATTATTCTTAAGGAATCACTGTCTAGTTTGAATAGTATGCCAGGGCATCAACAATAGTGGGAAACATGGGTAATTTGCATAACGGGTGATGCCCGTTATGCATAAATTATCCCATATATCCCACTATTGTTGATGTCCCTGGCATACTATACTAACTAGACAGTGATTCCTTATATTTCCATTTCATTGTGAAATAAAATTGTAGATTTAGACTTTAAAAATGCAGACATAGACTTAAATTACACGAGGACCTCCATGCCAATTAATTTCAATAGTCCTCGCCCACTGACGTGAAACACATAGGCAGACGCACGAGATTTACATGCATATTTGGCCTCCTTAGCGTCAGACACAGAGACAGATGCGCACGAGATTTGCATGCATATTACGCCTCCTTACCTCCTGACCTATCGACCTGCCTAATTTACATTCCGGCAGAATTATCAAGAAATAAACTCCGACAACTTTCAAAGAGTTATTTCAGAGAAAAAAATTAGAAATGGAAATATATTTCAATCAAACTTTTCGTATGAAGAAGATATTCAAGGTTGTTCAAATCACAACTCTCAAAAGTAGGGTGTATGGTATGATTAAACAATCTACTCACTTGTATGGTATAAAGAACAATCTATTCACTTTTTTGGGTATAAAACGAGTTATGAAGTTTTTTTTTTTATACTGATTGATAGGCCTTCATTTACATACTGAATTGTCGAAGGATGTTTTTCGTTTTTACACCGAATATGACAAGAAGCACACAAAGGATGTGATTGGTCGACAGGGGATGCTCAATCCTTCATGGCATCTGATCCCACCGCAGATGTCATGGAGGTCCGTGTTTGCTCATATCCTATTTTGTAAGTTTAATGGGTTTTTGAGCTTGAATCCTGTTCGCTATCTCCACATATTATATGAATAAATAATCTACTTACTTGTATGGTATAAACAAACAATCCCCTTTGTTGATTGTGATTCTGGTGTAAGGGATAATCTGTAGCTGTGGAAACTTAAACATGTCCACTGACTCTACATCTACGGCGCTGAATTCACCCTTACTATTCCATCCATGCTCCATAACCAAGTGGCGATACTTCTATTGAAAAAAAGTGATTAAGCCAAGTGTTTGCATTTGCCGACCTATATTTCTTCGAGTGGGTTGGTAGGTATGTATGATTTAAAAAAATAGTTTTCATGTATTAAGTTTTTGCTGGAGTAAAAATCAAAGAGAT